CCCCCCTCCTCCCTCTCCTCTCCCTCTCCCCCCCACTCCTCTGCCCCTCCCTCTCCAGTCTGAGGGGCAGTCAGGGTTCCCTGCCCTGTGCAACTCTTATAAAGAAAACATTTAATTGGCGTGGCCCACTTACAGTTTCAGAGTTTCAGTCTATCATCTTCATGACAGAGAGCATGAGAGCATGCAGGTGGATGTCATGCTGGAGGAATAGCTGAGAGTCCTACATCTTGCAGACAACAGAAATTTGACTGACTGTCACACTGAGAGAAGCTTGAGCAAAAGGAACCTCAGAGCTTGACCCCACACTTTCTCCAACAAGGCCACACCTCCTAATAGTGCCATTCACTTTGGGGCCATTTTCTTTCAAACCACCACAGTTTATTATATATAATAAGCCTTTATTATGTAGACATATGTTGCCTTTAACCGTAGCTGGCATCTATGGAGATTTTATTATGAAGGAATGTTGGGTTTTTGACAAAAGCCTTTTCTTAGTCAGTTGAGATAACCATGTGTTTTCTATATTTGGGTCACTCTATATGCTGAATTAAGCTTATTGATTTATTTATGTTGAACCATTCCTGAATCTCTGAAATGAAGCCAACCTGATCATGACATACAATCTTTTGAAGTGTTCTTGAATTCAGTTTTTGTAAGTATCTGTTAGGGTTTTTTTTAATGTCTTTGTTCATCAGAGAAACTGATCTATAATCAGGTCTATAATTTTCTTTTTTGTTATCTTTATCTGCTTTGAGTATCAGGATAGCAATTGCTTTGTAAAAAGAATTTGGAAGCATCTTTCATTCTGTTTTAACAAAATTATTTGTTTTTTGAAGATCTGGTAGAATTATATGATGAATCTTTCTGGACCTGGGATTCTTTTAGTTGAAAGGGTTCTTATTGCTGCTTTAATTTCATTGTTTGTTATAGACCTGTTTAGATTGTGTATCTCTTCTTTGACTTTTGTAAACTTAGAAAGGAATTCACCTTTCTTTCATATTTTTCAACTTAGTTGAGTATATATTTTTAAGGTATTGATTTTCTGAATCTCATTTATATCTATTGGAATGGTTCCTTTTAGTCCCCAATTTTATTTATCTCGTGTGTGTGTGTGACATGTATGTATGTTTTGTGTAAGGTATAAGCCTACGTGTACATGTGTGTGTGTGTTGACTATGTGCATATGAAGGCCAGAGGATGAGATCTGGTGTCTTCCTTTATTTTATTTTAGTTTATTTTTTTAGACCAAGTTGCTTATTGAATCTGAAGCTCTGGTATAGCCTCCTGGCCTGGGATCCACCTTGACCAACACAGTGCTGAGGTTATAGGTACATGCAGCCATGCCCAACTTTTTAAATGAGTGATGGGCTGTAAAGGCAGGTTTTCTCACTTTCATAGCAAGTGTTTTTACCTACTAAGCCATTTTTCTGGCCCCTTCCAATTTCATTAATTTGGGTCTTCTCTCGGTTAATTTAGCTAAGGGCTTGTCAATAATATTATCTTTTCAAAGAACCAACTCTTTGTTTTATTGATTCATCATATTGGTTTTGATTTTTTTTGTTTTGCTTACATTTGTTTCATTAGTTACTGACCTGATCTTTACTATTTCTCCTTACCTACAACTTTGGGTTTGGCTTATTCTTATTTTTTCAGTGTCTTTAGGTACATTGTTAAGTTATTTGAAATAATTGTTGTTGTTAATGTAGGCACTTAGAGTAATAAACAACTTCTTAGGACTGCCTTTGTTGTACCTCAGGTTTTAGTATGTTGTATAATGATTTTCATTCAGATCTAAGAATTTTTGTTTTATTTCCATTGATGATCCATTGATCATTCAATAATTTATCGTTTAAACTCCACTTTGAGGGGTTCTTGGGGGTTTGATTTGGTTTGTAGTTTCACTTGCTGTTGATTTCTAACTTTGTACACTGTGATCAACTGAAGTATGAGGATTTATGTCAATTTCTTTTATTTGAGACTTTCTTTGTGTCTGAGTATGTGATCTATTTTATAAAAGTTCCTTGTCTACTAGAATGTTCATCTATAGCATTTGGGTGTAATGCTCAGTAAATATTTATTAGTTTGATCTTTGTGTCATTTAATCCTGTTGTTTCCCTGTTTACTTTTGTCTGGATGATCTCTCTAATGGTGAGTGTGGAGTATTAAGGTTGCCCTCAGTTACTGTGGAGTAACATTTGTTTTATGAAACAGGTCTGCCTCTGTCCCATGTGTATATGATTAGAGTTGTAACATCTTCTTTATGGGTTGTAGCCTTTTGATCTCTTCTGGCTAGATTTTGTTTAAAGTGCATTTTGTCAAATAGGAATATCAATCCTGCTTGTTTCCTGTGTCCATCTGCTTGAAAAACATTTTCTAGTCTGCCACTGTAAGGGGTATCTATCTTTGCTAGTGATGTATGTTTCTTGGAGACAGTGAAAGAAGGATCCTGTTTCTAATACAGGATCAGAGAATTAAGAACAGTAATAGTCAGTGTTATTATTGGAAGGCGTTTATTGATTCCTTTTTGTTAATTTTGAAGTTGTATGTATATTTCTTAGTTTTCTTTTACTTAATACCAAAAGATTCCTTCTATTCTGTTGGACCAGCGTGATAGTCATAAATTACTTTAGCCTGTTTTCTTTTTATCATAGAAACATTTTCTTTCTCCTTAAGGTTTCCTTTGGGAAAATGGCTGTTATTCTATGGGTCTGCCTTTATATGTGACTTGGCCTTTCTATCTTACAATTTTGAGAGTTTTTCTTTGTTATGTGTATTTAGTGTTTTAACTATGATATTAAATGGGGAATTTCTTTTCTGGTCCAGTCTATTTGGTGTTTGTATATCATGACAAGCATCTCTCTTCCTAAATTTGGTAAATTTTAGCTTATGATTTTATGGTCTATTTCTTCATCATGAAAAATTTCCCCTTCTTCCCCTAATTCATATATTTTGTTTTTTCATAATGTGCCAAAGATCTTGCATATTCAATTCATACTTTTTAAAAATTTGTCATTGATGCTCTGGGCAGTGGTGGCACATGCCTTTAAATCCCAGCACTCAGGAGGCAGAGGCAGGCAGATCTCTGAGTTCAAGGGTAGCCTGGTCTACAGAGCAAGTTCCAGGATAGCCAGGACTACTGTGTTTCAAGAAAACTTAAAAAAAATTGCTGTTGATATTGGCTAAATGATCCAGTTAATTGTCTTCAAGTCCTCTTAGCTTTCCCTCCACATGACCCATTCTATTAGTGAGTTTTTCCACTGAACTTATAAAAAATGTAATTCTTTTAATTTTTAATTATAATAAAATTACATTTCCCTTTTCCCTTTCCTCCCTCCAGTTGCTCCAATTCTTTTAATATACCCCTATGCTTCCTTTCTCAATTCAAATTTATAGCCTTTTTCATTAATTGCTCTTGCTCTTTCTCTCTCTCTCTCTCTCTCTCTCTCTCTCTCTCTCTCTCTCACACACACACACACACACACACACACACACACACACACGCGCGCGCGCACTCCTAAATACAAAAGCACAATTTGCTCAGTCTGTATAATGCTTCTTATATTTATGATTTCAGGGCTGATTGGTCTGCTCATTGTTGGGGAAGACTGTTTCTCTCGCTCATCCTTGCTTAGTTGTCAGTAGTTCTTTATGTAGGGTTGAAGCCTTTTGTAGCTTTCCCCCAGCTACAGTAGCATGTCTATGGTTGTCCTTGTTTATTCACGTTTAGGCAGTTGTGCTGAGCCACCTGGAGCCTGGCTTTTTATGCTCCTTCTGAGCCTTATCTAGTCCTTGCAGACTTTTGGTCCCTGCTCCTGATTAGCAAGGGCTGCCTGATTCCAAGGCATTGGTGTTGATGCCCAGGTGCTTGCTTCTGCTTTCAGCATGTCTGATGTCAGGACATCGAGCAAGAGTGGCTCTATTTTGTGAACCACTCCATTTTGTTTTCTTGTTTTCTGTTCTAAGTGTTCACTACAGAATTGAACCTGGGTCTTTTGGAAGAAAGTCAGTGATCTGATCTTAATCACTAAGCAGTCTCTTCAGTGGGGTAAGAGTCTTGGTAGTTGGCTTACCTCACAGGACTAATTGGGGTGGGGACTGACCAGCAGTGGGCACTGGGTCTTGTCCTCCTCCTTGACCTCGGAACACAACCTGGCAGTGGGGTCCTAGGTCTTTGCCCATTCCCTGACTTAAGAGGCTGACTAGCAGTTGAGTCCTGAGTCTTTCCTGTTGATTGCTTTTCTGCTGGCTAGGAGAGAATTAGGACTGTGATCCCTATTCACAAGTTACAAGTCCATTTTCAAATTAAACTGATATTTTGTAGTGTGTTCTGCACGTGTATTGTATGAGACCCCAGGATATTATATGATAGCCAGAGCTCTGTCTGCGTAGCGTTCCACTTGAGGCCAGTCCCTTATCAAGTCCACAGCCAGACCTCTCAGCCTGTTCTGCTCTTAAGGCTTTCATCTGAATCCTTATTTGATGTCTTAGACTACTGCCACCCAACACTGAAAGCAGCCTGCATGTCTGCCTCACACCGTGAGCCTCTGAGGGTCTGCAAGTGGGCATCAGGGGGCTGTTACCATTGTAAAGTGTTCCTGGGAAAAGCTCTGCTCCCAAGCTCCCATGCTGTGGGTAGGTTTCAGCTCTTCAAAGCCAACTGGCAGACAGCCTCGGTTTCCCGTTGATCTTGGCTGGGGCATTCTCAGTTCATTGCCCCATAGGTCCCATTTCGCCCTTAAAGTATGCAAGACAAGAAGGCTCCAGAATCTGGTGGCAAGATGGAAGCCACAGTCCTTGGTAACCCAATCAGTGAGTGGCATTGCACCACTGTCATTTTCTTGCATTGTTGAGGCTGATACCTGACCCACACGACCTTCCCAGGAGAGGATTCAACAGGGGTTTGACTTTCAGGAGGTAAACCTTTGGAGGCATCCGAAAAGTCCCGTATTTGGTGTCAGTCATTCTGTCAGCAAAGAAAGAGCAGCTGGCCTTAAAACTGAAGGGTGTCTTCTGCTTATGACCTCATCAGTCATTTCCGGTTCCTAGGTTGTTGTTCCACCTTGTGGCTGTGAGAAAGAGAACCTACAGGTTCCAATGTGACTGGGGGAGAATGACGCCAGAGTGTGTGAGAGTCAGTACAGAGGTGGATGGAGCAGTGGTTACACACGAGAATGCAGGATGAAGGGGCACTGTAGAAATTTGAAAATGGAGAGTTTGTGCAGAAGGATAAGCATATCCGTGGCATGCTTTTAGGCTGGGTTTCTTTTCAATCTTAAGGGGCTGTCGGTGTCCACAGGACATGCTGTAAAGACTTGTGAGTTCCAGCTAGGCATTCAGTCTGTGTGCTGGAGTCTCCCTTGACTGTGGGAACAGAAATACCTGTTCCACTAGGCTGCAGTCTTCATCCACTAGGCTCAGCCCCACTTGGGTCTCTAATTGACCCAGTGTATCATATGAATATTGTTTCTCTCTGGGTCAAGAAGCAGGGCTGGTTGGGAAGCATGGAATTCAGGGAAATTGCTGGGGTTGGAAGAGGCCTGCAGGGTGGGAGGCCTCCAGGGCAAGCCGGCCCTGAGGACGGCTGTTGCCCCCAGCACTGTGCTCTCGCCCTCCAGTATGGTGTGTGGGTCCTATTCCTTATGCTCCCGTCTCAGCACCATCTTGCTACTAGCGAAGTTTTCCATCGCAGATGTGATCCATAATTGATGTAGCCTGGAGAAGGTGGTGATGAATAATTAAGTAGGTCTCAGGTACAGAATGAACATTAAAGGGAAGAGAGAATGAAAACAAAACACAGGGGAAGAGGTTCAAGTTCCGTCGTGCCAAAAGATTGGTCCCTACATCACAGAAGGCTGGGGTTTTGATTTTGAGTCTTCAGTTGTCTGATAACTTAATTCATATGTGAGTTGATCATCTCTGGCTACTACCTGAAAAGGTGACAAGCTTTCCCTGGCAGCAGTGGCTTCCATAGCTTTGTTCTGACAGCTTCAAAATCAAAACCAAAGTGTCCTCTAGAGCGATCGAGGGAAAATGGCTTCACAAAAAGCCAGAGAGAGTTAACTGCCATCGAGTATGAGTCTGGGCACTTCATATTCAACACCCAAAGATTTTTCTCTTTAAAAGAAGCAACGAGAGAAAACCAAACATGTGGAGAAACATTCTAACTCAGCACTTTTAGGGACTCACTGAGCACCATCCTGCAAAAGACTTTCCTTCTTAATGCTGGCTAATGGCTGCAGGAATTATAGCCACTGACTGAGGCTATGGTGGGTGCACCCTGATTGCCAGGAAGACTCATCAGACTCAAAGAATGACTAGAAAGATGGGCAAGTCCAGAGGGTCAGTCTCTGTGTGATCCTCCCTCCCGCTGGCCACAGAGTTTGAGCACACGTAGGAAACACCAGTTCGGATGGCTTCAGATCCTGTGTGTTTTGTTCTACCATTTAACCCTGTCCACAGTCACTGACTAAACATGAGCCTCAGAGGGAGCCCTGCTAGCAGGTCTGACAGAGGGCGTGGTGAGTAGGAAGCTGATGCTCCTGTGAGGGTAAGGGACTTAGTGCACCCAGGTCCCTCCCTGCCACCCTGGCTCCATGAATCAGTATAGCATAGGAACTCGGGAGGCCTCCCATTTCTGCAATCCATACCACAGCCTCCCTGTGTTTTCTCCAGCTCAGCTCTGCCCAGCTATGCCGGGTCATTCCTTACTATTGTTGGCAGATGTGGTTGTTTTTGAGATTGATCTGGAATCATATATTGTTTGGTCTAAACCATGCTGACCATGAGGTAGCTCTTCTCTGGTTGGTCAGAGCCTGTCTTGCTCGCGGCACACAGGAAGGTTGTTAGAGCACAGTGATGTTGTGTAGTTGGTGTTGGTGAGGAGGGCATATTTCAGCAGCCCCTGCTACCAGCCAACAACTGATCAGAGCTCCCTGAGCTCTCCCCACACACCCAGGTGCCTTCCAATGAAGGCCCGAGAGAACATCTTCAGCCACCTCCCTCCTTCCCCTTTCTCTTCCAAAGCTGGATGCCTCTTCACAGGTTTTATAAACAGAGTTTGGGGTGTGTGAAAGTCTGTGGCGGCACCTCTGTGCTGAGTTTATTTCCCCCAGAAATAGTAGGTGCCACTGAGAAGGATGGGCCAGATTCCTCTCAGAAATATCAGCTGATGATGCTCCGCCAATGACTCGAGACAGCCCTGGCCGCCCAGCCCTGAAGGGTTAAAGTGGAGGGGCAGACACTCTGGAGGTGGTCACAGCTCTTGTTACCAGTTGCATTATTGACAAGGGCACCTAACACCACCAAGACTGTCCACCAAGCGGCACTGAGAGCAGGAGTTCACCTCAGCTCACAAGTGGATGCCCAAGGGCTCGCCCCGTTGCCCAAATAGCACCTGGAAGGATGGAGAACTTTTGGATGTACCAATTTGAAAGTCACGAAGAAGAGGTACGTGCCCCTTCTTGTTGGGCAGGTTGTGCGGCCAGGCTTCAGTCCTCTGCTCCTGGCCCAGGTAGACTGTGGTGCTCTGCCTTTCTCTTGATAAGCAGGGAATGGGCGGGGAGAGGGGATTACCCAGGGTAGAGGGAAATGAGCTTGGGAGTAATGGTGGCTTAGAGATCAGGGGCTATTTTGCACTGAGCCAGGACCTGGGAAAGGTGGGCTCGTTGCCGTGTCTCGCCGTGAGTGCTGCTTTTGATTCTCTGTGTTCTGATGGATGAGTTCATCTGGACACTGCATCCCCACCATTCCAGGCTGTGGCATCTCTCACTGCTGAGAGCTGACACATAACCATGGCTATGAGTGCCTTGTGCACGAATAACTGCCTGGCTGGAAAATGAGAATGTGCCCCTGCGTGGTGCCGGGCACCCCGTAAGCTCTTTGAAAGTGGTAGCTGTTGCTATTTCTAGCAGGTGTTGTACTATTAGAAATTGTGAGTGTAGCTGTATTTCCTCCTTTGTCTGTTTTGGTTTGAGATGGGTGTTTTTACACAGTTCAGGCCAGCCTTGAACTCGCCATGTAGTCCAGAGCATTCTCAAACCCTTTGTCTCAGCTTCTCAAGTGCCAGGATGTGCCACACCTGGCTTGGTTATATTCAGCTCAGTTGCTATTTTTAATACAAGTTAAAAGTGCCTGGTCTTTGCTCCTAAAGCATAGGCAAGTGACCAGGAAGGCATGAGGGGCCCATCAAGGAATGAATGCACTAAAAAGGGAAGTGAGCACAAGGCTTTCTCGTTTGTCTGGTGTAATGTATCTCAGATACAACAAGTGAGGCTTGATTAACGAGTTAATCAAGGGAGCTAGACACCCTTTCAGTACATACAGCATTACCGGGTGATAGGCTGGTTCACCCTTACACTGATGGTTGCTTCATAATTAACTGGTTAATCTTTAGCCTTGAGAACACGGCCTCAGAAGCTTAGAGCTCTTGTGATAGTGACAGGGGGGGGTATTTTTGTGTTGCTCCTCTGGGCTAAGTGCTACCAAGCACAGTTCTCTGGGGTCCTGGCAGCTTCCACACAGGTTTATGAGCTTAGGGATGGGAGCCGAAGGATGCGCTCTGTGGGAAGAGAACAGAAATGGTTAGAGTGGTTAACTAGCAGTGCTTTCCAAGTTTTCCATTAGTTCTAATTGAATCCATTATGAATATATATATATATATATATACATATATATAAACACTTCATTAAGCCAAGCTATTATCATCTTAATGACATAATTATGCTCATTCAATGCCTATCCTGGCTTCGCTACTTCACCACATTAAGGAAATACAAATGTGCATTGATAACATTGTTTGAATTATACTATAGAGTGGATAATTATGTACTTCTTAATCAGTTTCAAATTTCAAAAGCGTGAACGTACATCAGGGAAACAGAACTCATCATATATTTGGGATTTTTCAAAATAACTCTAAAGTGGAATAAGATTAATATAAAGCAACTCAGACAAGAAGGAAAACAGCGTGTCCTGATTTGGGGAAAGGAACAAAGGCAGGTAAGCCAGTAGGCTAGGCACAAGCACGAGCGCCATCTGTGAACAGCAGGGGTCAGAAGCCCCACCCGGTGTCAAAACAAAGCTGACTGAAGAACCGGGGCATGTGCCACAGCCCGGTGTAGCTACACCTTTGAAATCCCATATAGAAAAGGCGTAGAAGCAGGAAGCTGTTCAGGCTGGAAAGGGTTACATGTCAAGGGCTCGATTGCAGCGTCTGTACAGCCACCTCTGTGAGCACCAGGGCCCACTGTGGTGCCCACTCTGCCATGCTAATCTCGCAGGAATGCATGATATGCAAGCAAGGGTGACAAGGCCTCATCCAGAAGGAGTGGAGGTCCCTGGTGCCAGTGACCGTGTGCGCGCTCAGAACTTACCCTGTTACATAAAACTATTACGTAGAGCTCACTTTTGTTTGCCCTTCCAAATGATACAAGATAGGTATTGTGTGTGCTTTCTATCCATTACATGTATTGAAACCCTGTTGTATATTTTATGAGGGCCTTTGTCTTAGGTACTTGGAGAAGAAACATGTCAATTAATTATAAATCCTGCCTTTGCTGCACTTCCTGAAATACTATGACAGGGTACTATAGTTTTATAATATACAGGGAGAAAGTCAAGCAGATAAAATGCATGCACGACTCCTAGGAGGGAGTCCTCTCGCCTAAGAGGACTGGGAAGATTGCACAAGGAGGTGGTAGTTAGCATGGGCTTTTGGAGGCCCCTGCACATGGAGAATCCGGGCGAGGGGCAGAGATAAAGCCATTGAGCAGAAACATGCAGTCACAGTCTGGAAACGGGACAAAGTGGCAGTGCCGAGGGGTGCAAACGAGTTAAAGCCCAACTGCAGGGTGCCTTAAACACCGAGATAGTCGGGACTAGTCTCCAAGCAAAGCAGGTAGAAAGGCTTGAATTAGAACCGCTTTGAACAGAGCTTTGTGTGGAAAGAGAAAATAGGTCCCTGGGGAAGAAGGCTTGTGAACTCTTAGTACTATCTCATTTAGTCAGGGGGTGTTGGGAAGCGACAGAAAGGAAACCCCAGATGTCTCTGTGAGTTGTTCCTTTACAGGTGAAATTACTAAATAGCTCAAGCCCAGGTGGGTTCAGCCAAACTGTTTAAGTTTTCAATATTGACCTTCTCCCTGCCCTTCGCTGAAGTAAATTTGTCACTGAGTTTCTTTGTAAAGAGGTACCAATATTCACAGGGACTCAAGGCTCACTAGAGCTAGCTGACATCTTTCATAGGCGTCCTTACTCAGTGGTATACTGGGGTCATCTGCACTGTGCTGGGGTTAACAGGAGAGGTGGGCGTGTACTACAATAGTATCACTGCCAACTTTCAGGTTGAAAGAAGAAGAGCTTTCATGCATGGAAGGCAGTGGAGGTGCCAGAAGCAGTTCACAGCAGCTAGAGAGACCCGCCCCCTACCTATAGCCACTAATGAGCCGCTAAAGTGTTGGAGCTTACGAATTAATGTAGTCTTTGTCGTGTGGTTTTATAAGCCTTCTGCTTGCTTTTTCACTTTATCCATGAATGAAATTTTAATGAGGAAACAAAATTAGATGAAGAAAGCATCCCATGGCTGTGCTGGCCCTCTGAGAAAGTGAAAAAACAATGTGAGATTGGAATTGTAAGACTGCTTATATTGGATGAGTGTTGTATAGGTTCCCGGATAACTAGCTGCCCATCAGTGCGCATTCACATGAGCCAGGCTGCCTGTCACCCTCAGGAGGTGGGGCAGAAGTGCCTTCCCCTTTCTCAGGAAGGGTCATGGAGGACAGGCCCCCTGTCCAGTCTTAGAGCTATAAGCAGGGAAGACTGGATTCAGTCACTAGTCTGTTAGACACTAGGGCTTGAGAATGTAACCACTTTATCATCCTGTAAAATGATCCTTTTGTCTATATTTTTGCATTTATTTAAATTCTGTTTTATCAAATATTGCTATAGTTATTCCTGCCTGGTCATGTTCCCACATGTGTGATGTATTATTTTCTAAGACTGCACTTCAGTCTCGTGATTCTTGGCTGGAGAAGTGGGTTTATGTAGTAAGTATGTAGTCTTTTAACTCATTCATGCTGTCTGTTTTGGTTGGTGCATGTAATCCATTTACACTCAAGGTTGTTCCTGAGAAGCATGAACTCCCTGTTGTTTTATTAATGGCACACTACTCGCTTTGTTGATCTTGTTCCTCTCCTGCCTAGCTATTGACTGTTCAGCTTTTTATTAGACCAATCAGGTGCCTTAGGCAGGCAAGGTGAAACAGATGCAACACATCTTTACATTGTTAGCAAAAAAGCAGCAGATACAAATGTAACACACCTTCATATAAAATAATGTTCCCCAGCATAAGCAAATGTAACATATCTTTGCCCAGTTAAAGTAATACTCCAAAACAGGGAGGTTGAACATAACAAAAGATTTTGAAGCAGACATTTTAATATCTTTGTTTCATCCTTGTAAGGGCTAGGTCTGTTTGAAGGTGTTGTGCATGCTTGCCTTGGTCTGCAAATGGCAATTTGTAAATTTGTGATGTGTTAAAAGAACTTCACTAGAGCCCAAGTTAGAAGTCCTCGCAGGAACAAATAGATTTCTAGAGCTCAAGATGAGCAATGCATGTTCTACACAGAGGAGCAGAGGGACAGTCCATCAGAGGGGGACTCACCTCTGACCACTGAAAGAAATCATCCCAAGGAAGCAGTGGGCAGTGTCATTTCATATCTTCTTTCAGCGCAGGTTGGAAGCAGTATAACCAGGGTACCACACCGAAGTCGTCTGTCCATGCCTCCCTTTGCTACGCCCCACCTGTGTGATAATGAAGACAGCATCCCTGCTGCTGAAGAGCTCTTAGGCATTCACACTCAAACAAGGTTCAACACAAACTACAGCACATTCCATAGGGGAGACATGAGCTATGGTTCGCATTTATGGAATCCTAGTGAGGGGTGTGCTTCTGAGCTAAGCACTGAACATGGGGGAGAAGGAAGGGAAGCTGTGGATGGAGGAAACTCACCCCAGCTTGTGCGTGGCTGAAGGCTACAGCATCAAGTGTCTAGGGAGAGGGAGGCCCCCCGATAAGGTCAGTGTGGGGGCTGTAAAAGCTCTTATCAGGGAAGTGACCAGCAGACCTGTGTTCCCTTCTTCCCCAGCATTCCCTGATAGGCACCCAGCACTAACCACAGCTACCTTACTGTGTGTGGGTCTGGGTTCCATCTTCCACATCCCTGCCTACTGCCCAGATCGCCTGTCTTCCCATGTCACTAAAGAACAGTCCAGTTCCACAGGGTGGTAAGAAATGTGTTTGTAGAATACTGGAGTGGAAATAAATGGGAAATATTGGGCTGTCTGTCAGGTAGCTTCTTATAACAATGTATGCCCATGACCCTGAAGCAAACAGTTCAAGAAAATCCAACTGCAGCAGCTTCCCTAAGGCTCAAAGGGAACCATAAAATCTTTTGGGGGAAAAAAATCAAGGCACAAATATGAAAAGAAGCCTTCTCCGTGTGAAAAACTGGGGAGATTTATGGCATTAAATTCTCATCCTTTCCTACATTAATTTTGAGTCGGCCAAACAGTGCTAAATCAGTAAGCAACCAGCAGCTCTCTTGGGTGATGACTGGAAAATGCCGTGTGTTTCTTCTGAAAGCCATGCAATGCTGCTTTGTTGTGGCCAGGGGGCTCTGGGGTCTAGGGTGCTTTATATCTGCTCTCATATTATGCTTGCCCTCCTGCCTTGACTGTGGAGATAGATGTCTTCATGTTACCATGTGAGGGGCTCGAGGGCCCTCAGTTCCCTGCTTGGAATTAAGTAATAATATCACCAGAGATGGGGGTCGCATAGGGTCTTAGCTAAATAGTGCACTTTACTGGGTTATTTTTCGGTGTCCCCTGTAGTTCTTGTAGTCCAGACTTTTTGGACATAGTTTTCAGTAATGCCCACTGAGGTTCTTTTGTCTGTTAACATTCTCTGTTCCCCCAGCACCTCGTCACTGTGAAACTTGTCCCTTCCTGTGCAAAGATACGGTTCTGATGCCTTGTGCCCTAACTTCCCGCAAGGTGTGCAGCGGGGTTACTTTCCTTTGCTCAGGATTTGCCGCCCTGGTTTTTATACCCACAGCTGGAAGAATATGTCCTGTCTGGTTTCTCTTGTGTTACATGTGGGCTCTCAGGTCTATCACCCACAGCTGGGAAGCACCACATCCTTGCACCCCCATGCCATCACTACAGAATTGGTCACCATCTCTGAGGCCCAACCTGAATGTACCCCTCATCTCCCAAGATTCCAGGAGCACATGGAGCTTTCTGGTATCATATGGGAGTGTTTCATGCCTGTATCTGTCCCGTGACTCGCTTATTTGGTCATTCATTTAGCATGTACTTAGGGGATACTTGCGTTGTGCACGGGAACTGAGGTTTCATGTCCACTGCTAGCGCCTACCTGTGCCCACCGACGGAGGCACCGCCACACTAACACATGGACCATGCTCCCCAAACATGTTTTTCTAAGTCTTATTTTCAAGCCTGTCATTTGACAAAGGATTTCTAAACTATGGTGACATGGTCCAAAACAGTGTGATTTGAGTGTTGAAATGTCTCTGAATTTACAGTGGCCTATGAATTAAGAAGGACCACCTTAGTCATCTGAACTGCCGTGGACAATGTAATGGGCAGTTTTAGGTCCCAGTGTTCCATTCAGACTGTCTTGGACAGGTGACTTAAACATTATTTGTAACTTTCACTAAGAAAAAGATTAACATTGTCTAATACACCTTTAAGCTTGATGCCTACCGAAAGTCCATATTTTCTTTAAAATGTTAGCCTAATGGGAGAAAAAGTCCCAAAAGAGATGGAGTTGGAAGCTCACATGGCCAGGTCCACTGAGTGCAGTTGGCAGTTCTCGCCAAGGAAGCGCCTCTCACTGCTGTCTGTCCCTCTTGTGTGTTCCAGTCCCCTTCTCCTGGCAGTTCCTCACCTCTGGGTGCTGAGTCATCAAGCATAGCCCTTCATCCCAGTGACCCCACGGAAGCCTCCACAAATAAAGAGGTAGGGCACCATCTTTATTCCAGATGCCTATTTTGCTTCACCCCGATAATGCTCTATTGTTTTCATCTCCGCCTACCCTGGAGAGAGATATATTTCTTCTCCTCTGCTGTGTGAAGATTGTCCATGGGAACCATGATTGAACTGTCAAGTTTGGTGGTCACTGGCCATGGGTGTCTGGTAGTTATTGAATACGAGAATTCCACTTGCATTCCGGGTGTTCAGTGCCGTCTGCAGCTGGTTACAGAACTTTTGTATCACAGGACACTGAACCTCAGAACTGTCTACCAGCATCTTTTCCAAAAGAACGTTCTGTGATGACGGAATGAGGCCCTTCTGTATTGTCACGGGTACTCACTTAGCCTCAGATGTCCACAGAGCCCTCGAAACATGCTCAGTAGGACTGGGGAACTAAACTTCTCATCTTAACTGTAGACTAGAAGCTACTCAACAAGGAGGAGGTAAGGTGTCCCTTGGGGACAAGTTCTGTGTTTACCTCACTCATGGTTAGAGACATACTGAACTCTGACAAAGCTCTTAAGATACAAGATGTAGCTAAAATTTCTGGGGCTTGAAAAAGGGCAGGTGTTTTCCCCTGCGTAGAGCCACTGGCTCCTTTAGCACCCAGTGTCCTCTTAGCCCAAGGTGATGGGCACTGCCTACTGGGGATCCACACCAGGTAACCCTGTCCCTGCACAGTGATTGTGTGGGCACAAGTGGGTTCAGCTGCAGCTGCTCCTTCCTGGGCACTGGATGTGGTAAAGAGGTATGTCTCTGGCGCCCAGCTGTGCTGACAATCTTTAGTTAAATTCAGCCTGAGTAACAAGTTGTTTCTAAAATGTATCCTATATATGACTGGGAGGTATAAATTTTATTAAATGAAGTTTTTCTAGAAATACATTTTCTCCTCATCTGGTCTATTCACAGATTCTGTCACTAGGTGACAAGATCATAGTTTCTGCCGTTACTTGATACTGTCTTTATTTGTAGCACGTGGCTGGGTAAGACTGGAAGAATGACAGCTACAGTGGCAGCGACAATAACAAACATTATCATTTGTTAAGCGTTTGCCGTATTCCAGCACAGGGCAGGCAGATTGAGTCTCATTGGAGCCCTTCAGTGGTTCTGGGGGGTGGATATCTGTCCTCATGTGTTAGTTCCGAAAGCCAGAGCCGGGTCCATCTGACTACCCAGCTCACAAGCGGTCAGCTGTGCTTTGAATCTGAAGTCCTGTCAGCCCATGCTCTGAAGTGCCAGGATCTACTGCACCTGGTGTGGAAAGTGTGTAAGGTCACATGCCCGGTTATCATGCCTATGGACTCTACACGTAGTTCATGTGACCCCTGAAAAATCTTGACTTCTCAGCTTTAATTTCTTCTGTTTTTGTTTTATTTGAGAAATGGAATGTAGCCCGGGCTGCCCTTGACTTGATTCCACACTCCTCTTGCCTCTTTTCCCGTCCAAATGACAGGGGTTTCCCTCCACATTCAGCCTAGCCCTTAATGTCTTAAACAAAACTTTCTTGATTCTTGCTAAGGGTCAGCTGATGGTCATCTCAGTCCACGTGTGAGAAGGCATGCCCACAGCAGGTTTCTGATTAAGCTTTCGATTACGCAGCAGGTGTTAATAGGGACAGTAGATGTGTTAGTCTCCCAGTCCCTACACGGCCTGGCACATGGCTCTGCATATCTTTAGAAATACTGACGAAAATCCTCATCGTATGCTATTTTCTAAGTACTACCCCAGAATGAAATAAATCTAATAATGGTGAGCGAACAAATGGAGAGCGAGTGGATGTGCCAATTGCCTACTATCGCTGCTCTAAAGTAATTCTCCTGTAGCTCCTGCTAAAACAGGTTTTAGCATTCAGAGAAGTGTCCTAGTAGCTCAGGAAAACCGAATCGGCTTTTTAAAGTTGTCTGGAGACTAAGACATTTTGATGGCGCTAATGACTTCTCGTTGCTTCCGAAACACTGAGATAAGAGCGGGGAGACGGTGGAAAATGGTCTTTGGCCCCTGTGAAGAAGCTTGCGGCATTCTCCTGATGAGAGCACGGCCCTGCTAGCCATGCCTTTCCACACGTGCATTAGCAGCCAGGAGCTTCAGTTCTTGGTACTCAAGAGACCCGATTTCATCCCAGTGAGCACATTTGCAGGGGCCCTACTGAAAGTTGCCCTGTGTAGTCTACCAATGCAATTAGTGTGGAATTCCTGTGACTGTCCTGAATGATAAGGCGCACCAATTTTCAACCTCTATTAGCATGCCAATGTTAGACTCCTCTGCAGGTTAACGGAGTGACACCCTAGTCCTCGCCCACAGCCCGCTGCTCATCTAGCCCATCAGGTTCCCCCAAGCCTGTCGTCATCTCAGGGGTCAGTGTACTGAACGGGTGTCCTTCTCCAAAGAGCATGTTTAAATGATCACATGTGCCCTCGTAAATCTTGACCATGTAAACCCTACCTGCTGCCCGTTATAGGTGCTCACTTCTGAACCCGAGCAGTCCTTTGCACACATTTCAGCTCCACGTTCTGAACGCATTTGAAGCAGAAACAGATCCTCTGCCCTCCTCTCATGGAGAGCCGTTTCCAGTGTATGTGCTTATGAAAGGAGCCTGTGGCATATAAACTCCCAGCCGGCCAGACTCTGGAAGGTGTTTAGCTCACCCCTCCCAACAGTGCCGTTAAGGCTGACCTCTACTATGAGCTGACACATGCAGAAGGCTAGTGTTTGGAACTTAATCTTTCATTCTTATTTTAAAGAAATGC